ATCCTCAAGGCTCAATCTTATCTCTTTGATTCAATTCCCCCACACCAGAACCTTGATTTTCCTTCATCTTATCTCGAACCGATTCCAATTTAGATTCCTTGGTATCCAGATCTAGGGTTTGTTTTTGTTTCCACAGAGTTTAACACTGAGATAGGAGTAGCCTTCTTACCTGATGATTCACCAACACACGGAGATCCAGTTCCTCCATCCTTTGAAGTTTCTTGAGATCCGATCATAGCCTTTGCCTTCTTCTTCCTCGGTCGTCCTCTTTTCCTCGCCATCATTGCTCAGAGAAGAATATCCTATCTGTTGCTACTAAAAAAAGTGTATGTGTTAGATTTTAGAGTTAAATAAATGTTTTCCGGCCTATGATATTATATAGTAGATCTGTTTGGAAAGCATTAGCATTTGAAGACACAATCTCACCATAGAGTGCTGCATTAGTGTATCTGCACATATAGATTCCGTAGCTACTTTGTCTACCCTTGCAGAAGTTTTATATGCAGTATGCACAGAATGCATTTTTGTTTCTCCATATTTTCATGTTTAATTGATATTTTCTTGCCACATGTTACATGCTTCTAACCTTCTTTTGCCTTTTGCTTTTTGGGCTTTGAAACTTTTTTTTGTTTTACTATCCAGGTCCTGCTGATTTTCCCTAATCTTGTCAATGCACCACTAGTTAAATTCCAAGCAGCTCTTTCTTGCCTTCTGGAGGTGCCATTTCTATTTGTGAATACCCATACATCTACGACTTGGCATAAAACTTATCCAAATTCTCTGTTAACACTTGTTTTTTTTCAAGATTTTACAGTTTCACAAATCAATTAGTTTTGCCACTTCTGTTAGTATAGTATAACATCTATGAAACTATTTTCTCTTTATGAACGGATTCCTATGGACATGTATGGTTGTAAGAGTTAATTTTTGTAGGCTAAATTTGATAAAACAGTGAAAAATTGAGTGTTTGCCACTGATTAATCGAACTCTCTATCCTCAGTTCTTATGGACCTAGGGAACTCTCTATCCTCAGTTCTCATGAACTATCTTCAGTTCTATGAACTCTCTATCCTCAGTTCTAATGGAACTCTCTATCCTCAGTTGTGTGTGTGAACTGATTCTTATGGACCTTTATTTGACATGGCTTAACCTAGGGGTCACCTCGTGCTGGCCCAGTGCTAACCCCGTCAGAGGCTTTAATTGCTATTCATGGAATCCATCCTGATAGAGATAACATCCCCTTGAAGAAGGCAATGTTTTCCTCACCTTGATATTACTTATATGTTGTTTTAGTTCCCCTACTTTTTTCCAACAAGTTTGATGAAAATGTTATTTAAGCAGGCGACGGATGCTTGTAATGCTTGCTTTGACCAGCCACAGATCTTTACCCAGCAAGTTGTTGCAAAAGTATTGAATCAATTGGTAGGGGTAACTTAAAAGTTATGCCTAATCTTTCTTGTTTTCCTCCACTTTTCACAGCTTGCCATCTGAATTGTAATAATGGAATATGCAGGTTGAACAAATTCCTCCTCCGTTATTATTTATGAGAACAGTATTACAGGCTGTTGGAGCTTTCCCTTCTCTGGTAAGGAGATGGTATTCATTCACTTGTGGTTCATTTGGAACTCTCAGAATACTAGGGGGGAGAAAATAGGGACTAAAGCATATGAGAAATTGATAGGGGAGAAAATGTGGGTGATTATTAAACTTTGTTTTGAACTCAATAAATCTATTTTTTTTGTGCGTGTTCAAACACATTTTATTTCTTTTCTTATTTCTGTTATATAAAAACTAATAAATCTAAACTTATGCAAAAACAAAACAAACAATAGTCGTATTTCATTCTCCTCGAATGTCAAGCCAAACATGAGGAAAGTAACTCTTTGCATTTTAATTCCATCTCCCTTGCATTTTCTGGGATACAAACATACCCTTGGAATTCAGATGAAAAAATGTGGATTTTCCCTTTCCCCTGTTGAGCAACTCGTATGACTGAGAATATGGCAAACATTCCAGGTTGACTTTATAATGGAGATTCTCTCTCGCCTTGTAAGCAAACAGGTATATAGCTGTAACTATCCATACTCCTTCATTCCCAAAACAAGGCTCCACATTTAAGCCGGCACGGTTATCAAAATGGTAAAACTGTGTGGTTGAGATTTGGCCTCCGACAATGTGAGCCTTTTTGGGACGGATGAAGTATATATTCTATTGTACTGTATTTAACTCCAGTGTCAGGTCATAAAATATGTGTTTGTTACTCAGATATGGAAATACCCGAAACTATGGGTAGGATTTGTGAAATGTGCCCAGCTGACGAAACCACAATCTTTCGGTGTTCTGCTTCAGGTTCGCTTTCAAGACTTCAACTCACCGGTTATATTACACACACAAAAAAAAAAAATAAACAAGTAAATCAGTAAATCTGTAATATTCCATCTGGTTCTGGTTTTGTAGCTGCCTGCTGCGCAACTGGAGAATGCATTAAACAAAGTTGGTGCGCTGAGGGGAAGTTTAGTGGCACACGCTAGCCAGCCGCACATAAAAGCGTCGCTCCCAAGGTCAGTACAGGCGGTTCTTGGAATTGCATCCGATTCTCAAGGTTCGAGCCAGGCTCAACTGCCACCTCAGCAGCCTCCAACTGACGCTAATAAAGAGGCAGTGGCAGAATCATCTGCCGCCGCAAGTTAGATACACACACACATATATATCCGGGCTGGTGGGTATGCTTTAGATTCTCATTGAAAAGCTCTGCTACTAATTTTGATTGATCTTTGGTTCTTAAAAGTGCTTGAATGTTATGATTGAGAAAAGAAAAACAACAAAAAGAACCCCTCCCTCTCTCTTTGTATATGTATATGCTTCTATAGTTCTTTTCATTCAAATGCGAGTTGTGGTGAAGTGAGAGTTTGGTTGGTATTCTTAATTTCTGATAACATTACCCCATTGCCTCAATGGCTTTGCCCATTGCGGGGTAATGGGGGGTCGGATGTACGCAGTCTGACTCCTATGTTTAAAACATAGACCGGCTGTTTCCAAAGGTATTCTTAATTTCTGATACGAGAAATAATTATGAACATTTATGATAACTGACAAACAAATTGACAATACAATTTACAAATCAGACTTTGTTTTGAAAGAGAAAAAGACTAAAGTGGGAGTAATAACATTGAATATATACCAAGAAAGGATTTTCATTTTTTTATTCTCGAAATAGAAGTTAAAATATATTTACATTACCAATCATGATCATATACATTACCAAAAAGTATAATAAAATATTTGTACAATGTACAGTTTCATATTACCACATTGTGAAATCCTATTTAGAGAATAGAAATGGCATTCTTATTTTGATATTTTTTTATATATTTTACTTCTATTTAGAATGATTTTTATTGGAAAATCGGCACAAAAATTCTTGTGATCCTTTTTTTAATGCACCACTGAATTGTTAGACTCATGCTCTTGCAAACAGATTCAGTACTCCGTACATTCTTCTTTATTTGTGGTTCTAAAAGAAATTTTTCATTTTCCTCATTTTAAAGAAAAGATTACATGATCTGCAGAAAATTTCTTCTAAATAAATAATGTACAGAGTAATTTATTTTTAAACATGTTTTTATTAAATTTTGTGGAATTAAATTATGAGTTTCATTTTGTGGAAGGTGATATTGCTTTTGTCAGTGCACATCGCTTACATAGCTTATATTTTGACTTGAATGACAGAAGTCTATTCTCCAAAACTTATAGGGAAATTCACTTTACGTTCAATTTCTAGCAGAGCCAAAGACATTCACATACTATGCACCATTAGATTGACAAAAACATGAACAAATAATAGAATAAATAGCACTAAAAAAAACATCTTAACTCTCAAGTTTTAACAAAACAAAGGTATTTTTGTGATAAAAAAAAGAGTTAATTCATAAAGGTTACTCCTCCTCACCTTCGGTTGAATCACATTCCTTAGGGTGTCCTTAGAAGGACGGGAATCATCTCTCCCAAATTTGTGTCACTTTTACATGTTTCACCAATTAAAATGTAACACATAACTCACCCCACTCCCTCATTTAACACAAACTCATCTTAGGGTGGGTTTGTCTCACATTTTAATCAGTGAAAAATGCAGTTGGGACACGAATTTGGGATAGAGGATCTCACTTGTCCTCAGAACTAGTCGAACAGTATCCTGGGATTAAGTAAATTGAATTATGAACCTAACCTAGCAAGTAAGAAGTAGATATCAGCTCTGAGTACGTGCAAGAATTTCATTCTTTGCATGATTGTCCCTTATCGCCGTTTCTAAGAATTAATCTCGGATCTTATCACTTGGAGTATTCTTCACTTTCCAGCTTGGTTATGCACACCAACAGTCCCCACACTTTCAATATTCATTGGAGCACCTCTTCTCTCTTATGCCCTCCCCTTGGACAACCCACCATATCTAACCCCTCCCATGCACTCTCGACTCATTTCTCGATCTTCGAATTAAACAAAGTATCTTCAAACTCTCAAATGACCTGTATGGTTTTTAAGTTTTTAATACTAAAAACAATGTCAAACAAATCAAACCATAAATAAATTAATAACCAATAACGCTAGCTAGGATTACAACACGAGGACTTTCCAGAGAGTCACTCATCCTAGTACTACTCTCGTCGAAATTTTGAAGTTCTAATGAGATCGATGCATTGGTGCTTATATGATGACACCATTGACACGGAAACCCGGATGCATTAGGGGTTTGAAAGTTTTATCTTTCCTTTCAAGAAAAAATAATGCTAGCTAGGGACCATACCTTCAAATCCTCTTTTTCTTCTACCTACGGCCTACAACCCAAACTTCAAATCCCAATCCAAACTCTCTCACACATCGTTGAAAAAGTGAAAGAAAAAAAAATGTTGGGTGCCCAAAAGCCCGAAAGCCCAACGATCCAATCCTCAATTCCTCTTCCATCTCACCCGTTTGTTTTATATTAATGACTCTCACGTTTCGTGCTCCCCCCCATTCATCCTCCCCCCCCTCCTCCTCTGTTATCCTCTGTTTCATATGATAATATTCTTTATAGATCAAAATATTTACTGTATTCTTTCATTTGCAATGCTTTAGCATTCTTGTATCATTTCACATCAATTTTTGTTCTTTTTTTATATTTATTTTTATTGCTCGTATATATATATATATATAAATTTTTGTATAAAATAATATAGATCCCAGAAAAGCCCAAGAAATGGCCTCCATTTCTTCTAGTCCTAGAACTGTAGAGGAGATCTTCAAGGATTTCAGCGCTCGCCGGGCTGGAATTGTTCGAGCTTTAACTCAGGGTAACTTCCTTCGCATTCAACTTTAATTATCAATTCACAAACTTTTCACTGTGGGGATTGATTTGACTTTCTTTTTTTGCTCTTCCAGATGTTGATGAGTTCTATGGTCTTTGTGATCCAGGTAAATTTCTTAGCTTGAATTTACCATTTGTTGATGTAGATCCGCTAGAACTTTCTCTCCTGTTGAGTCTTCTTCTTTCCTCTTCGGATCTCGGAATGCGTACAACTTTACTTTCTATTTTCGGTGGAGGGGAAAGATGCTAGCTTTATTCTGTTTTTTTTTGCTTTTAATTTTTTGTTTTTATATTTTTTTAAAGCCAATTAAGCACCTTTTTTTGGGTTATTTTCGTTTTTATTTTCTACTTCCTATTTTCGATTTGATGACGATTTTTCAATTGAAAGAACTACTAAATTCTGTGTCCATCTTTGATCTTTTTTTTCCTTTCTGTGGCCGGTGTGTGTTTTACCAATTGTTTCCTTTTACGGTGTTTTTTCAAAGATCTTAACTCATATGAAGAAACATGAAAGTTGCAACCTTGAACATTAATGACTATTTGTTGCTTAAAGGAAAAAGTAGAATTCTTGAGGTAAAAGAAGCTTGGAACTTTTCTGAAACAAATTAAGTGTTTGCTTCAAAAAGAAGAAGAAGAAGAAGAAGAAGAAGAAGAAGAAGCTTTCCATTCTAATGCCCTATTATTCCTATTACATTCTTGATTTTTCCAAAACTCAAAGCTTCAAAATTGTATAATTACTCCTTTAGCTTCACATTTCCTGTTTGTGTAGAAAAGGAGAATTTGTGCCTCTATGGCCATCCAAATGAAACTTGGGAGGTCAATCTCCCTGCAGAGGAAGTCCCCCCCGAGCTTCCAGAACCTGCCCTTGGGATAAATTTTGCAAGGGATGGTATGAACCGCAGAGATTGGCTTTCACTTGTTGCCGTGCATAGTGATTGTTGGTTGCTTTCTGTGGCGTTCTACTTCGGAGCACAGATCAACCGGAATGATAGGTATTCTGTAAGAAGAAAAAAACACACTAGCTTTTTGTTGTGTTCTTGTTGATTTGTGTGTTCTTTACTCTATCTTCCTTTTCCTTTAGTATAATATAGCTGTCATCATCCCATTTGCATTAAATATTCTCTTATGATTTATGATGATGTATTATTGCATGGTAATGTCTGCCACTTTCTTGAGGATGTGTTTTCTTTGAACTACTTTTTCTTAATCACAAAAAAAGGCACAAACTTTACCTACACGGCTACACCTGCAGTTTTTGTGTGACCTCCAGATAATGTGAAGTGATATAAAGTATACACATGCATTTCACTGATGGTTTGATAGTGTCCCGCTAATCATGTTTTATAAGCCCTTCTAAGATGGTATGTAATATGCAATTACATGAAGCCTAACAGTTGTACCATGATGTTAGTGGTATATTAAGTTAATGCCTCAGTCGGTAACCATTAAGGGCCCAATCAAAATTGCAAATTTCAGCTAAGTACTTTGTCAATTGTCATTACGTTTCTTGCCAAATTTTAGCTGGTGTACTTCAAAGTAATAATGTGCAGTGTGTCGCAGTTGGGGTGGACACTATTCAGTTCTGGGTGTGGAAAACCAAGAATATTAACCGGATGCTTGGTCGTCCACTGTTCTGGTTCCAAAACCAGTTCCATTTAAGGGAACCTTTGTATGCAAAGTTATGGTTCTGGTTCTTGGAAGTGTAACTTGCTTGTTTCTGTCAATTGTTTGTGTTGATGTTTCTGAAAAAAAAAACATTATTTTGTACACAAGTACTTCGTACTACTTCTTTATTCGTGGTGTTTATTTTTCTTTTCCCATGACATACTTTTGTAAAGCATCATCTTGTGATCATCTTATTGCTGTAGAACTATACCAAGCACTGGGATCATCTTTTTTGGTGTAATGGTGGTAGATTTACACAAATATATGGAGATTGAAGTAAATGGATCTTTATCAGTGCCATCTTTTCCTTCTAGGATATTGGTTTTGTTTGTTTGTGTCTGTTCAACCACTTATCCACTGTGGAAAAAAAACATAAAAACACAACCCCCTTTAACACCGAAGTGGGTTCTTGTTTATTTGACAGGAAGCGTCTTTTTAGCTTAATAAACGATCTTCCCACCGTATTTGAAGTCGTGACAGAAAGAAAGCCTGCAAAAGACAAACCCAGCACAGATAGCGGCAGCAAATCACGCGGCAGTACCAAGGTTCGATAAATTTTGATTTTTACTGTGTTATACTCCATCTGTCCTAGATGAGGGTTCATCATTTCCTCTTTCGTTTGTGCAAATGTAGAATCATAACTATGGTCAGATACTCAAATGTAGAATTTGAACCATGGTCAAATGTAGAATTTTAACCCCTCCCCTCCCCTACCCACTTGCAAGTGAGGTTTGTTTTTGCTCAAGCCTTGCACATGACATCTTTGTGTCTATGAACCAACTCAACCAAAAGCTCAAGCTTGTGGTTTTGTACCCTGACATATATGGTTCATTGCAGAGAAGCAGCGATGGAGTGGTGAAAAGCACCACCCCAAAAGCGTCCGAAGAAGGGTACGAAGAAGAGGAGGAGCACGGGGAGACGCTGTGCGGGTGCTGCGGGGGGAATTACAACGCGAACGAGTTTTGGATAGGGTGCGACATATGCGAGAGGTGGTTCCATGGCAAGTGTGTGAAGATCACGCCTGCCAAAGCCGAGGGCATAAAACACTACAAGTGCCCTTCTTGCTGCTTGAAGCGCGGCAGGCCATAATATCTATTATAACCCCTCCCCTTGCTGCAGTTCGCCGAGAAGAAGGAAAACAAAACAGCTTTGTTGCTTTTGATGCTCCTCCTGACATAATAATAATATAGTTATAATAGCCCATTATATTTACACACTTCTTCCTTCCCTAATCTGTCTGTTGCTGTGATGAATGTCAACATTTCAAAAGAAGATCACAATATATATATATATACAGTTTTTTTTTTCTATTTGTTTAAATTGTTGTAGATGCTTTCATCATATTCATAAAGCTTAACAATAACAATAATTAATAATAATATGAGTGTGTGCATTTGGAGTTTCTTTTCTGGGCATAAATTTCTTTCTTCTTTCTCTTTGTTTTTTTTTTTCTTTGAAATTTAAATTATGTATTTCACCAGCTGGCTTAATGTAACATGGTTTTGTATTGGACTGGTAAGTTGACTATATCTATTGTATTTGTATCAAATAGACAACTTTATCTTTAAAAATTTAGAAAAAAAGTAGTGAAAAGGTAAAATACTAAATTTGTCTATTTTATAAATGAAACGTGAATTTAATTATCATCCTTGAGAAAACCATTCAATAAATATTAAATATTTGAAACCATTTATTGAAACAATGTTTAACCTTTAATAACATCAGTCTAGGGCCAAATAGATACCCTTATTGGTATGATGATAATATATAAGCAACAAAACTTTTCAACTCTTCAAAAAAAAAAATTGACTCCACAAACAGCATACTACTCAAGATTTAGATTTTAGCATTTCCACTTGGGATTTCCCTTGAGGACCTTTGCTTCGAATGAACGCTCTATACTCATTGAATGTCATCGGGAGATACATCGCAGGGTCATTTTCGGTAACAAGTTCATCGAGAGGCTTAACCACCACCTCCCCGCCCGGATTGTAGAAGAAAGCGAGTGACACTCGTTCCTTTATAGAATTCACTATCACCCTGTGCTCGACGCTTTTATACGCCGCATTGCTCATCACCTGAAATCCAACGTGAACAATATAAGGGCAACTTCTCTTCTACTTATATTTTCTGCTTATTACTCATTCTTATTTGAATCACATCAGATGAGATAAGTTCAGATCATATGAGATATAGTTTTAAATCACACTGCATTCAGACCAGATCAGATAAGTCCAGACCAGATCAGATCAGAACTTAATAAATTCAGATCAGAAGCAACCAGATCAGTTGAAGAGAACATATCCCAATGTTAGTTTAATCCGTGCCTAGTACACTTATTAATTAGTAGGTTTTTTTAAAACCAAATTATCGAAGCGTCAATCCAAATATATATATATAAAGATGATGGAATTATAATTAATTACCTGAATTTGATCACCAATATTAACCATTAAGGAGTTGGGCACTGGCTTAACATTAACCCATTTGTCCACGTGGAAGACTTGGAGGCCCACAACATTGGCATCCGGGAGTAAAATGGTCAATCCGCCCGGGTCAGAATGGGGCGAAAGGCCAAATGCAAGGTCCGGTTGGGGGCATTTTGGGTAGAAATTAACCCGCAGGCACGATCCTCTGCCTTGATCCCCACCAAAAGCTTGATGAAGCCTATCTTCTTTGAGCCCAAGGCTTAGAGACATCATCCTTGTTAGTTTCTCACCCAAACACGCCATAGCTTGACCATATTTCTCAATCAATGGCCTACAATACATTATCTCAAATATTAAACACAGAGGCCACCAATTTGCTAAGTCATGCTATTAGCCTTGGTAACATTCTCTCTCTCCCAAATTAATCTTCTGATTTTTCTCTCACATAATTTAATAAAAAGTGGAATTGCTTGTTAGAGATTTATGGAGAGAAGTAATGATAAAGATCATTTATTTCATTTCATTCATTACAAGAAATCTGAAGTTTATTTTAGGACAACACAAAAAGAAACTGGAAAGATTAACCTGGAAGTTTAATTTAACCAGTCCAATGGCACAAGGTCCCTCAAAGATAAGACCCTTAAGAGCCCAAATTTAATTTTTATACGGAGTACTTTATAAACTAATGCTTAGACGTAGCCCTTCAACGATAAGAACGTTAACGCCTCATAGAATAATCGTTTAAAATACCATTAACTAGAATTTCTGTCCCATGGGTGTGAGGTCGTGAAGACCTTCGGTAAGGCCGGTCCCGAGGACTAACACCGCCCCCTCACCCTCCGACCCCTCCCACCCCCCGATCCCGACGACGAACACCGCCCCCTTATGTTATTCTACAATAAAGTTTACGTTTTAATTATAAAAAATTCAGAAATTAGAAAGTGTTAAAAAGTAAACAATATAATGCACGTGGTCATTGTGGTGAGTTTTTTTAAAGGCTAAAAATTGCGAGATACAAATTTTTTCTATTGAAAAATACTCCCTCCGTCCATAAATAAACTTCCCATTGCGCGTTACGATGTTTGACTGAAGTTATTTTCAAATCATTTTATATGAAAATGGTGTAAAATTTAAAAATAAAAATTACATATTAAAAAGCTATATATTAAAATGTTAAATATGTCAAGTTATATTACATATTTAATATTATTATTATTTATGGTAGATTCCATATTGTATAGGATCTCTCATTAATGTCAGCTTCCTTATTCTTAACCCTCCTACATGTATATAAGGGGAGGTGAATATATTGTAAAGGGATCATTGGAATTATATAATTCTTCATGGTATCGGAGCCAACTCTAGGCTAATCCCGAACCACCTCCCCTCTTCCTCTTCCTCTCGGCGCAGCCCTCTTCTGCTCGCCGGACTTTTCCCCTTTCTTTTCCACTGGCGAAAGAATCACCGCTCATCTCCTCCCTCTTTCTCTCATCATGTCTTCAGAAAAATCCCCCTCTTCTTCAACTTCCGCTGCACCTACTCCTCATCTCGCCTTCACGACGGTGTCCAACGTCAAACTACAGGTTCCCATCACTCTCAGTTTTTCGGAACCAAATTACAAGAAGTGGAGCCGTCTCTTCCTTTTTCTGGTCAGACGCTTCAATCTCGAAGGTTTCATCACCGGTGAGAAAACTTCTGCCGGAAAAGATGATGTTGAATGGCTTCAACTCGACGCTCTCATTCAAGGATGGATTCTTTCAACCGTCAACGATGAGGTTTCTGATCTCATCATCTCTTCCACTACATCCGCGGCAGATTTATGGAAAGCCATACATAACTTGTTTCATGACAACAAGGCAGCCA